CCAAATCAAAATAAAATTAAAAAAAACCTAAAAAAAAAAAAAAAACACAGACAGGTAGGCAGATAAACATCAAAGTACTCTTTGTTCTGCATATAAAAAAGAAAATTCCACTTGGGAAAGTGGTGTCATATGGGAGAAAGAACAAGGATCTGGGAATTGGAAGGCCTGCATTTGGGTCCAGCCTTTGCTAGTAAGTGTGTAACACTGTGTTATGGATTGAATTGTATCCCCGAAATATATGTTAGAACTATAACCCCTATACTTTGGATGCAATCTTATTTGGGAATAAGGTTTTTTGTTATGCTAATAAGCCCATAAAGAGTACCTCAAGCCAATCATTTTTGAGATATAAAAGGAACAGAGTAGGCACACATTGGGGAAAGATAGATGCCACGTGGAGATCTCCAAGGAATGCTAGGAATGATGTCAAAGAAGCTGAGACAAGGCCCTTCTCCCACAGCAGACAGAGTAGGCCTTCCCGTAGAGGCAATGCCTTGAACTCAGACTTCTAGCCACCCAAACTGTTAGAAAATAAGTTTCTGTTCTTTAAAATCACCCACTTGTGATACTTCTATTATAGCAGCACCAAGAAATTAATACACCTTGACTGAAAAGCTACTTCCTTTCTCTGGACCTCACTTGCCTAGACGTAAAATAAACCAAAACCAAACCAGTTGCCACCGTTGTTGTTGTTGTTGCTGTTGTTGTTATGTGCCGTTAAGTCAGACCTAACTCATAGCGACCCCTCCTTGGGTTTCCGAGGCAGTATCACCACGGAAGTAGATTGCCCCATCTTCCTTCCGAGGAGTGGCTGGTGGGTTTGAACAGCCAGCCTTCTGGTTAGCAGTCAAGTGCCTTAGGCACTACGCTCGCTACCAGAGCTCCCAGTTGCCACCGAGTCCATTCCAATTCATGGCAACCCCATGTTACAGAATGTAACTGTTCCATAGGGTTTTCTTGGCTATAATCTTTACAGAAGGAGTTTGCCAGGCCTTTCTTCACAGAGCCACTTGGTGGGTCTAAACCACCAACCTTTTAGGTTAGCAGCTGATCACAAACCGCATGTGCCATCCAGGCTCCTACTGATGTAAAATTAAAAAGCTGAATTAGACTATCTCTGAGGTTTCTCTGGTTCTAAAAGTTTTAAAGGCAACTTGACTGTTTTGGTATTCAAATCTACATTAGAGAATATTTGACAAATTTTAAAACAACTATTATCATGTATCTTTGTTATCCTCAAATCCTAGAGGTCTCTTACTGCTGCTCTTCAGCAAATTGTTTCTGCATGTCTGGAGTGTATTGCGGGCCTGGTGGGCGCATTCCCAGGAATGGTGCTTGTCCCATGTAAGGCATTCCTGCTGCTGGCATTGGTCCCATCGGTATTCCTGCCTAGAAGAAACAGACAAAACTAAAACCAAAATTTCTCCTTATAATTATCACAAAGAAAAACTGTAACTGCCATAAATTCTTTCTTTTTTTCCAGGCACATGGGAAGGAAGACTACTTCTGCCCCACTGAGGTTAGGCATAGTCTTGTAACTTGCATTACCCAATGGCCTGCCTCCCTGCAGCAGTTACTAAAGTCAATTACTTGCTTTCCCTTAAAACTTCCTCTTCCATTGGCTTCAATGGTATATTTTTCTTTTTTCTTTTATTTCCTCCCCTCCCCCAAACTTCTGTGGCTGCTCCTGCTCTTCAATACACTACTGGTAACTCACTCTCTGAGATTTAAATGTTGAAATCCTGAAGGCTCTATCCTGGATTATTTTCTCTGATTATAGTCTTCTTGGATATTCCCTTTTATACCTCTGGTATCGATTACCTCTATATGCTGATGACTCCCAAATTTACACAGTAAAAAACTTGAGTTCCAGGTCAATTTATTAAATTTTTTCTGTACAGCTCCACTTGAATGCTTCACGGGTTATTCAAAGTCAACATGTATCACCAAACAATCTCCCCAGTGTTTATTTTATTAACAGCAGCACTAGTTTGCTGCTTATGTAGGAAACTAGGCAGCAGCTTGATACCATCCTCTCCTTTATTTCCAAAAGCCAATCACTCAGCAAGTGCCATTGATTTTGTTTCTGCAATCGTTCTCAAAAACATCCATCTCTGTAACGGTCTGTCACTACCCTAATTTAAGCCACCAACATTTCTCATCTGCTTTCCTACATCAGCCTTTTCATGAATTTCCCTACATCTAGTCTTGTTCTCTTCTCTCCCTCCAATCATTCTTCAAATGGCAGTCAGATGATCTTTTAGACACAAATATGATGTCACTCCACTGCTTTAAAATATTCAATGGCTCCCTAGTGCTCTTATAAGAAAATTCAAAATATTTAACGTGGTCTATAAGTTCCAAGCCTGACCCAATCCTGCCTGCCTCAGTTCCTCAGACATGCCACACTCCCTCCTGCCTCAGGGCCTTCATAAATGCAGCTCCTTCTGAAAGTATGCTCTTGCCCCATCTCTTTTTCTGGCTAATGTCTGCTTTTCATTCAGAAAATGTCACTTTCTAAGAGAAGTTTTTCTGACTCCTAATGCCAAGTTTAGTCCTTTGTATATGTACTTACTACATATGTACTCTTCTTTTATAGAACATACCAAGGTTCACAGTTCATATTTAAGTGTCTGATTAGCTGTAAAGGGATAAAGTATCATTCTGATTGTATCCCTCAGTCTTATGTGTGACATTACTGCTAGATTCTTTAGAGCATAGGTCTGTTCCCAGTATGCTGACGAAGTCATTTATCAACCAAATGAATGCCATCTGGGAGGTCTTTTAGCAAACAGCTTTCTTTTTTCCCTGGTGGATGTCTCGTACAATGGCATTCTTATTTTATGTATCTAGCATGAAGTAAATATTTCACCACCATCATAATCACAACACCAATGCCAACTTCTCCCCCACTGGGAAAACACTGCATAATATGGTTAAGTGCCAAGGTATTGAAGATTTAAGTTCAAATCCCAGCTTACTATCACTATGTCCTTGGGTACCCTTGCAAAACTTCAGTTTCCTCATCAGAAAAATGAGCATACCATCTGTTATGGACTGAACTGTGTTCCCCCAGAATGTGCATCACCTTGGCTAGGCCACAATTCTCAGTATTATGTAATTATCCTCCATATGTGATGTAATTATCTTAAGTGTTGGAAATCCTAACTTCTATGATGATAATGAAGCAGGATTACAGGCAGTTATGTTAATGAGCCAAACAATCCACAGGATTAGGTTTATCTTGAGTTGATCTCTTTTGAGATATAAAAGAGATTAAACAAGTGAGCAGAGATCAGATCAGAGGGGCCTCCTACCACCAAGAAAGAAGAGCTGGGAGTGAGGCACATCCTTTGGACCCAGTTTTCCTGTGCTGAGAAACCCCCAGATTCAGGGGAAGATAGATGACAAAGACCTTCCCCCTGAGCTGACAGAGAGAGAAAGCCTTCTCCTGGAGCTGACGCCCTGGATTCAGACTTCTAGCCCCCTAAACTGTGAGAGAATAAATTTCTGTTTGTTAAAGTGATCCACTTGAGGTATTTCTGTTATAGCAGTACTAGATAACCAAGACACTACCTCTTTAAAAAGTTGTTATAAGGATCAGATGAAATAAAAAACCAAACTCACTGCCATTGAGTCGGATCTGACTCATAGCGTCCCCTCCTTGGGTTTACGAGGTGGTATCACTACAGAAGTAGGATTGCCCAATCTTTCTTCTGAGGAGTGGCTGGTGGGTTTGAACCGCCAGCCTCGTGGTTAGCAGTCAAATGCCTTAGGTACTATGCCACCAGAGCAATATAAATAGTAGCCATTATTATTAGTTCTCAGCCTTCCAAGTAATGTCACTGCTTTCATGAGGACAGCACTTCTTCTTCTAAAAATACTACTTTATGCAATCAGCCCCTAAATTTTCCAAAAGGTCATTTTAAATTCGTCTAAGCCTGTATCCAAATAAAAAAGCCACCAGATCCTCCCTAAATGGTTTCTCTTGTTTTCTCTCATTCTTATGCGAATACCTTCATTTAATTTTGTAGAGAGTCATCTAAGAGGCAGATTATACTTATTTCTAAATATAACATTAAGCTCTTAGTATGCAGCCACATAACAAGAAACAATAATTCTATAAATAATCAAAGAAGCAAGTACCTGCATAGCAATAGGTCCTTGGGACATTTGAGAGCTATAGTTCATTCCCATCATGCCTTGCATATTAGGCTGCATGACAGAGACCACAGGAAATCCTTGTTGCTGCATAGGCATCAGGCCTGCTGAAAAGTAGAAAAGGATCACTGAAGTCAATGTGTTTTTAAGTTCATCTTTTAAAAAACAAAGTACATAAATGACTTGTTATTTGAGAGGCAGCAACAAACCAAACCAAACTCAACCCACTGCCATCGAGTCAATTCTGACTCATAGTGATTCACAGTGTAGTGGAAAAAGCACTTAGGCTCTGCAGTAAATGTGAGTTTAAATTCCAACTGTACCACTTACATAGCTGTGTGATCTTGGTCAATTTACAAAACTTTATCTGTAAAATGAGGATGATAATACCTATCCTACAGAATTTTTATGCATATTTTTAAAATTAATAGTATGACTTAACAGTGGTATTCAGCCATTAAGATGACCCTCAATTACTTCTGCCTCTTGGTATTCACACCTTGTGTTGTCCCCTCCCACAACAAATAGGGCTGATATAACCAACAGGGTATGGTGGAAATGATCATGTCTGACTTCTGAAGCTAGGCATTAAAAGACATTGCCACTTCTTCCTTGCTCTCTTGGATTACTCTGTCTGGGGAAAGCCATGGCCAAGTGATAAGAACACGCAAGCAGTCCTATGGAGAAGTCCGAGTGGCGAGGACTGAGGCTTCCTGTCAAGAAGCAGCATGGATTTGCCATCTACGTGAGTGAGACATCTTGGAGGCAGATCTTCCAGCACCAACAAGCCTTCAGATGACTCCAGTCCTAGCTGACACCTTGGACTCTAAGCCAGACCCAGCCAGTAAAGTCGCTGCTCCCCCATTCCTGACCCACAGACACAGTGTTAAATAATAAATGTTTGCGATTTAAGTTTTGGAGTAACTTATCATGCAGCAACAGATAACTAATCCAATAAGAGGAGCATAAACTCTAAAGGCTGACTAGAAATGCCATTTACTAGCCTGGGGACCTTGGACCACTCAACTTCTTTCAGTGCCCTGGTTTCTCATCCGTGAAACAGTTTAATGCCTAATGAATTATTATTCCTCTTCCCTTTCATTACAGGAATAGTTAATGTAACATTTACCACCAGCCATCAACCACCATGTAATGTATATAATGAAACGGCAGGAAAGCTACTGTGAAAATATGATTTAGATTAGTACTTCCCCAACTTTTCCAATGAAGTATCCCAACAGCAGAGGAGAATGAATATATATCCCTATAGTGATTTATTCAATATTAAATGCCTACTCCATGTTAGGCAGTTTTATATGCTTGATAAACAACAATGAATAAAACAAAATCTCTATATAACATGAGCACAAATTTCATTTTAATTTTGCATTTTACCACCTGTTATATCCATGTAGGTTCTACTATAAGGAGCTTATCATCAAATTTTCAAGTGAAAAATTAAAGACCTAGAAAGGTACTATGTTTACCTGGTGTTTTGTATACCTTCAAAGTTATTTATACACTGCTTAATCTCAGAAGCATGGACATTCACATTTGTAGGTAATAGCTTTCAGGGGCATGCCATTCATTCATTCAATCATGTATTCAAATATTTGAGGGCCTACTCCATGCCTGGTACCAATCAAGAGACACAGTAGTGAATAAAACCAGGTCCTTGATATCATAGAGCAAATTATACTGTAACTGGGAGAGACGTAATAAAAAAACCAAGGACATGTCAGCTGGTGGTAAGAGCTAAACGGAAAATAAGGCAGAGTAAGAGGGAAAGGAAGAGTTAAGGAAGGGTAGTTACTATTTTATACAAGGCAGTTAGGAAAGGTTTCATTAACAGGATGACATTTTGAGCAAGAGCCTAAAGGAAGTAAGATAGCCAGCCATGGGGATATTTGGGAAGAGCATTCCAAAGAAATAGCAAATGCAAAGGACTTGCATTTTAGAGCTGTTTTAGAATCATCTTCAGCAAAATTTTGCTTGTGTATAATATTAATGATATTGTTGGAAATGTCCACATTCCATTGAATCATCTTTCTTTGGAATGGGCATGAATATGGAACTCTTCCAGTCAGTTGTCCAGATAGCTGTCTTCCAAATTTCTTGGCATAGATGAGTAAGTGCTTCCAGCATCATATCTGTTTGTTGAAGCATCTCAGTTGGTATTCTGTCAATTCCTGAAGCCGTGTTTTTTTGCCAATGGCTTTGATGAAGTTTGGACTTCTTCCTTCAATACCATCGGTTTTGGTTCTTGATCATATGCTACCTCCTGAAATTGCTGAATGCTGATCAATTCTCTCTACATTGACTCTACATATTCTTTTCATCTTCTTTTGATGCTTCCAGCATTGTTCAATATTCATTCTAACATATTTTGTTAAAAAAAAATCTCAAAAACAATTCCAAATTCCAGAAGAAGAAACATCAGACAACCTTTTGGGATCTCTTTTTATTCTATTCCTTCATTCTATATGTAGATTTTTACTTAAAAGTTTATAAAAATGCAAAATAATGAACGAGGATAATGAACATATAACTCTACAGTGCCTTTCAAAAGAAAAAAAGACCTTAAACCACTTGATCTAAATCTGAGACATATCTAACTATAGATAGCTTAAATAATGCATAAATGTGAACACAATGAAAAGAATACAAATGACCCTTGGAAAAATTTACCTGAAATTCAACCTCCATTGCTAATTATAAATGGAGACAAAGTCAGTACGAGCCACTAACCACCTGCTACTGAGCTGTTCTTTATCTTTCATCTCTACTGGGGCCTAGGAGTCTCCATTTCGCTATCAAGTCTATCATAATCAATCAACACTGCTTTGGGGGATGGACCAGTTTTCAGAAGCACTTTGGGAGCAGGAGTGTGGGCAGTGAGCAGAAAGACATAAGAGAGATAAGGCCAGATACATTCCTCCTTCAATGCCGTGTCCCAGTTGCACAGCAGCATAGATTAAGATTCTATCCCTTCACTACCATTTTCTTGAAGACAAGGCTATTGGTATAGTTGGGCCCTTGTCTGAAATCAAGAAGGAAAGGGTATACCTAATGTAGAGTCTAGAATAAAATTGAGATTTAATTGGTTTAAACTGAATGCGAACATGCGATCTTTTTAATGTATGTGATTATAGTAAGACCAGAGTTCCTGGGTGGTGCAAGCCTGGTTTACTATGCTCAGCTGCTAACCAAAAGGATGGAGGTTCAAGTTCACCCAGAGGTGCCTTTGAAGAAAGGCCTAGCAATCTACTTCTGAAAAATCATTCATTGAAAATCCTGTGGAGCACAGTTCTACTCTGACACACACAGGGTTGCCATGAGTTGGAGCTGACACTGCTTTTTTTTTTTTTTTTTAATAGTAAGATCAAATTCTTACAGAGAAAATTTAGCAGAATGCTGGGTGCTGGAGATATTAGAAGCATAAGATAGACATGGTATCTGCCCTCTGAAGGTTATGACCTAGCAGAAGACTAGAAAGAGAAAGGTGTCTGTCATTAAGAAAACTTCAGGTTGTTTCATTTTTGCCACCTGCACTTAACATTCTTGCCCTGAAAGTCTCCTCGCATCTCTGAGGTTAGATAACAATCTGTCAACATAATGTTTAGGTAAGCCTGGGAGAGATGAGGAAACATATTTATATTTGAGAAATTTTAAAAGTAACTATCATATAGGTTCAAAAAGTACAGGAATACTTTACTCTATTTTGCAGCAATAGAATTTACTTTCTGTTTTGCTCTAAGTTCAAAAATATCATAGTGAAAAACAAAAGTTCAAAACTCAAGCTTTTACGTACCTTGAGGAGATCTTATTCCACCTGCAACCGGAAACATGAAGCTGAAAACAGAACAGAAATACATCATGTTCTTCATATGTACAAAGACTTCAATTAAAATATGGTTATTTCCATAAATTAGAGAATCATTAGCAGGGTCCCCGTGTGAGCTCTGCAGTATGATACTAAAGTTTCCCCTCCACACAGATTAAGCATTCAAAGGATGCCCAATAGCGTTAACAGGTTATTGTGGGGAAAATTTTTTGAACTAAAAGACAGAAGATCTGGCAACTACTCTACCACTGGGTAACTTCACCAGACTTCAATTTCCCTGTCTATAAAATGAAGGGTTGGATTATATTAAATTCAGTGAACATTTATTGAGTACCTACTACAGGAAAGGAATGAGTTAGCCTGCAACCTCGTTAAGGAGACAGATGATGTCAGAAATAACTATAACACAGGACAGAATCATGTGCTAAGTGCTATGACAGAAGTCCAAAATACTAATACAGATGAGAAGAATAAAATTAATTTTGATGGGTTAGATCTTGGAAGATTTTATGAAGGTGGCTTTTGAGCTGGATGTTGAAGGAAGAAAGAGGCACATTACATTGCTCGAGCAAAGGCTTTGAGGTCACAAATGTAGGATGTGTTCAGATAAATGATTTAAGGTTGAATATAAGATACATAATCAGAAAAGTAAGCAGATTATAGAGGGCCTTTAAAACGCCTTAGTTCATTTCAAATAGTATTTGAAGTTGTCAGAGGTTTTTAAGTAGGAGAGTGGCATGATCAGAATGTGCTTCAGGAAGTTATTCTGGTCACAGGGTATAGCAGAGAGAGATCTTGAAACTTAAAGACCCAGCTAAGCTATTACGACAACAATCTTATAAGAGATTAAAAATGTCATATGAGAATGGAAAAGAAGGGGTGAATGAAAGTTTTTGAAAAGGAAGAATCAATAGGACTTGGCAACTGCCAGGATGGGGAACAGTAGTGAAAAAGTAGAAAAAGCTAAAGGTGATGCTGAGATTTTGAGCCTGAGCAATTACAAGGATGGAGATGCTGTTTACTGAAAACCAAAAGAAAACCAAGACCAAACCCATTGCCACTGAGTCAATTCCAACTCATAGCAAACCTATAGGACACAGTAGAATTGCCCCATAGGTTGGTTTCAAACGCTGTCAATTTTTATGGAAGCTGACTGCCAACCTTTTGGTTAGCAGCCAAATGTTTTAACCACTATGCCGCTAGAGCTCCTTTACTGAAAACAGGAATCATTAGGTAGGTCTGAGAAGTCTAGTAATAAGACTGATGTCTGCAAAGAGAACTCTAACAGGCAATCAGAAAAAGAATTCAAACTCTTGAGAAAGACCTCGATAAATCTAGCTTAAGCAGCTGCTGCTGAGCTGACCCTGACTCACGGTGACCGTGTGTGTCAGAGTGGGAGCGCGCCAGAGGGGGAGCGCGCCAGAGGGGGAGCGCGCCAGAATGGGAGCGTGCCAGTGCTCCCCAGGGTTTCCGTGGCTGGTTTTTCAGAAGTAGGTCACCAGGACTTTCTTCCGAGGCCCCGTTGGTGGGCTCAAACCTCCAACTCTTTGGTTAGCAGCCAAGGGTGTTAATCATTTGCAGTATTTATGGACTCCAAACCTAGCTTACTCAAACAAACCAAACTCACTGCCTTCAAACTGATTCCAACTCATAGCAACCCCAACGCTATAAATCTTCACAGAAACACCTTATTTGTCTTTCACAGAGCGGCTGGTGGGTTCCAACTACTGACCTTTTGGTTAGCAACCAAACGTCTTAACCACTACATTGCTTAGGCTTTTTCAAATAGAGGTTAAAAAAAAAAAAAAAAAAATTGAGTTCTGTTTGTGGATGAAGTAGCCAAGGGAATGTACATACATAGCAAGAAGATAACTAAGGACAACCTTGGAGAATTCTTAATAGAAATGTTCATTGAGAACAAAAGGACTTCATTATAACTGAGGAAGGACAGCATTTCAGGAAGAAGGAAGTAATTTCCAGTATCTAATGTTATAGGAAACTTGCTTTGTATTGCAGTGGCTAAGCGTTCAGCTGCTAACCAAAACGCTGTCAGTTCAAACCCATCAATCATTTGTCAGGAGAAATAAGTAGCAGTCTGCTTCTGTAAAGATTTACAGCTTTAACCTGTCCTATAGGGTCGCTATGAGCTGGAATTCAAATTGAGAGCTAAGGATTTGGCTCTTTGGTTTGGCAAATGCTGTAGAAAAAAAGGAGCCCTGGTGATTCAGTGGTTAAGTGTTCTGCTGCTATTAGAAAGCTGGTGGTTCAAACCCACCAGCTACTCCACGGAAGAATGATGTGGCAGTCTGTTTCCACAAAGATCACAGCCTTGGAAACCCTATGGGGCAATTCTACTCTATCCTGTAGCATCACCACGAGTCAGAATCGCCTCAACGCAACAGGTTTGTTTTTTTAATGCTGTAAAAAAGCTGGTAAGGATGAAGACTAAGAAATAATCACTACTTTGGAAAATGGTGATTGATCTTTGAGCAAGCAATTTGAACAGAGGAAGAAGAGACCTATGAGATCAAGATTTAGGCTATAAAAGATATACTTAGTGATTAATAAAACAAAGTCTTTAAGAGAATTGAGAAGGGCTCTTAGATAATCTAAGCATCAAAGATCTGGAAGGAGTTTCTGGATAGTCTTTTAGAGTCCTGAGAAATCCTGACTTTGGTAAGATGGAGGAATAGGCAGACAAGTGACACAGACCGTCTTCAACAAAGAAAAGGAAAACCAATTGGCAGAGATACAGAAGATAATCCTGGAGCCCTAAGCTTTGAAAGGAACTATACAGAAGTGGATTAGGCACCAACTAGTGGAAAAACCTGAACGAAAACAGTGAGTACAGAGATGGTTGGAGTTGCGGACTGTTAGCTACTCTGATGGGACCAACAGCCTGAATATTTCCAAGTGGTGTTGGGATCTGAGAATTGACCTAAACATCAGCCCTGGTCACTAAGGGCTGCAGGGACGACTGCACTGGTGGCGTATGACTAGGAAGGGAAACAGCAAAGAGGGAGACAACCTGAGCTGTTGACTTTCCACTGTCCAGAGGGCACAGCAATTTTGATTGCTTACATATGGCAACCATTTTGGATATATAAAATGATCGAGGGTGCAGCCATTTTGGATGTTTATAAGTGGCAACCATTTTGGATTTTAAAGTGATAGCATTCTCATTTGGATTACAGGGACCTAAGAATAGGCTCTGTTTGCCAAGGTTGGCAGGGACATAGGAGAGGCTGACAACAGGAAAGGAGATGGGTGGTGAGTGTATAAGCACCTTCAACTAGCGAACAGAGGAGCACAGTACCCTGCTTGCATAGATAACATACTAAGAAAACAAAAATCATGGGCAAGTCACTTCAACATACAATCACCAATTAAATATAAACACAAAACCATCACAATGCCTTGGAGACAACAGAGCATCACAGTCCACACAAAGGAGCAAGATAAAGCAGGAGAAACAAGTGACCAGGATACAGACCCAAAACACATCCCTGAGGAAGACGCACCAATAGAACTCCCTGAGAAGGAATTCAAAAGAATTATATTTAGGTATCTTTATTGAATTGAGAGACAGATCAATCAAGGAAAAAACAGAGAAAACCCTAGAACAATTTCAAAAGACAATACAAGAACAAAATGACAAAATAAATGAAAAATCAGAAATGATACAAAGTGTACACACAGAAATCCAGAAGATTAATACTAAATTTTCAGAAATAGTTAAGACATTGAATGGGCAAAGGAGCAGAACTGAATCAATGGAAGACAGAATTAGGGAGACTGAAGGCAAATACCTGAAC